TTTTTTGAGGTGGAGGGGAACACAGTATTCCTACCACCCTCCAATCTGATTCCTTTTTTATTATTTTTTTATTTTTTTTTAAGGCCCCATGTGCAAGACCTCTATCCTGGTGGTGGTAAGAGAACCACCGGGATTGAGGCTTTGCCTGGACCGCTCCATCTATTGGTGGGGAGCATCACCTGCTGGAAACCGGGTCCAGCGTCCCTTAGATACATCTTTCAAAACAGTACATCATTGAAAGTGACGCCATTTTGCTGGAAACTGGGTCCAGCGTCCCATATGCACTTCTACTCTTCCAAGCAAAAACAGCAGCAGGGTCAGGAATGGAGGGGAGCACTGGGGGGCACCAGTGGGGTCCACCTCCATCTCCTGACCCCTGCTGTCCATCGGCTATCCTCAAGGCGCCTATTGTGTTAAGCTTAGAGTGAATTTAAACTGAATTTAAACTGAATTAAACTGAAGCAATTTGCAGTAAACAGGATTAACAGAGTTCTCACAGCATTTTGTCTCAATTCAGCTAATCAGTCGTTCTGACTACAGCAAACATCCCCCTCACTTCACAGGGAGACGCCCATCTGCTGATCCTGACTTTTTTTGGCCCGATGGAAGGTGCCGCCCTTGTGCTGGAAACCGGGCCCAGCGTCCCATGTCAAAAACCATCAAAACCATCACTACCTTGCCTATCCTGCAGCTGGGCCGAGGATTGGAGAGGGGCACTGGGGGGCACCAGTGAATTCTCCCTCCATGGAATGAGAATGCAGACTTTTTTTTTTTCAGGGGATTAACCAAATTAATTCCATAATTCATAGGGCAGCAAATCCTGGCAGTCTTCACTCATGCCTCTTGCCGACAGAAGGCCAAGCGCAACAGGAGGATCTGAGGGAGGTAGAGTCTGCGAGTGATTGTGGGCCCAGCAGCTAGCTCAACACAACAGAAGGGATGGCTGTGCATCAGATGGCACAGAGGTCTCTGATATTCTGGGTGCTGTGTATCTGCTGGCATCTCGGCTCATGTCGCTAGTAGTGCTTCCGCCACGGACAGCGGGTGGGGGGGGAAGGGGTCTGCAAAGTCCTGGGCTGGCCGTAGCGGGACGCCTGGGTCCACATTAATCCAGTCATGGAAGATCAACTGATAATCCCTTGCTATTTCTTCCCGGGATTCTGCACTCCGGTTGGCTCCGGACCATTTTATCTCAGCCACCCATCCCTTCCCCTCTCCCCCAAGCCAGTCCTTGCTGAATTTGGAGATAATCTTGTTCATGTCCCCCCAGGTATACAACTGATCCAACTTCTCTTTAGCTGCTCTCCATTGGGTTGCAATTTCATATTGAACCAATGTTCGTATTACCCCTATAGCTACTACTTACTCGATATTACTAGCTTATTGTTCCCTACCCCCTGCTCCTCTACGGCATCTCTAACCACTTCGATATTACAAGCTTATTATTCCTTGCCCAGGCCAGGCCGCCAGGCATTTCCCACGCTTCCATGAACCACTTGAGATATGTCCCCCTGCAATTTCATATTGAACCAATGTTCATATTACCCCCTGCAATTTCTTATTGGGTTCCAGTCCCAAGGCCATGTCACACTGGGAGCGATATGTCGCCAAACTCTGTCCCAGCTCCTCCATAGTAGCACTGACGCAGGGCATTGGAGAAAAATATGTTCCATAGTCTCTGCCCGCCTCGTCCCAGGGAAGCTCTGCAGGCATTTGTGGTACCATGGTAGTGCTTTCCCTTGCTGCTCCAAACGCGTATGGTCTATCAACCAGTCGTTGATTGGTAGACACCTATGTTCAATTTGCCATTGGAGGGCTGAGATTTTGGCGGGTCTGCAACTATAGTGAGCGAACCATCGAATGGGTTTAAGCAGGYWACGGTCTATGTTAAGATGGCGATACCATCTGTCCTCCACRCGGTCCCGCAGTCTACATTTGGGTCTGAACATTCGGTAGACGGATTTGGTTTTTAGATTGAGTAGAGCCAGTATGTTGTCCTCCCCTTTCCTGGCCGGGTTACGTAGGTTCCATYGCCACTCCTCCGGATYTAAGGGGAGGTCCTCGATGGAGGTCATTGGGCAATACACCCTCTGGTARCATCCCTCCTCCATAACCCGGATGCGATACACATCCTTTTGTTCTTTCCATATGAAGGGTTGATGGTTCCCTTCTAGTCTGCCGCCCTTTTGGATGGAGAAGACTTCTATTAGCACACGTCCCGGCCCAATAAGGTGCACATGCCCGACTTCTTTCTCCTGGTCGGGTAGCCCCACCCAGTCTCCTTCCTTCAAGCATGGGCCTTTTCTGAGGGTGGTATACCATTGGAGGGGAAAGCTCTCAATAAGGTCGTTGAGAGCCTTCTCGGTAAGATGGCAGTATTGCAGCCACGTACGCATCCTTTCTATGCTCTTTCAGTTACCGGTCTCCCTGTCCCAAAGGTCCCCAACCCTCCGGACGTCATGCTTTACCCAGCCTTTCCACGGGGCCTCCGAGCTATTCCGCACCCGCCCTCCAGCATCTGTTATTAGCCTGTTGCCGAAGAGAGGTTGCCTGAAGATCTCTTCCCATCTCTCAGGTGTTGGTCGGAGTGGGGGGGGGAGTTTCCTCCAGGTACGTATCAGGTGCACCCATTGCTTGTCGGAAGGGTCCCCGTTCCTGTACTTCCTCGGCAACCTCCATTATCTATCTTCCAACCAAACCCTAGGGTCGATCTCGGGTGGGGTTTCCGGGGCCAGGTCAGTGATTTGCGCTAGAGCCAAGGGGACCCAAGGGAAGGATGTGGAGAAAATAATGCGTTGAAACCAGCAAATCCTGAGGGCTTGGAATTGTGTGGCCGCGTCCACAATTCCCAGTCCTCCTCCACTCTTGGGCTGGATCACTGATTCCCATGCCACACGGCTTATGACGTGGGATTTG